ACTAGTTTATTAACAACCCCTAAACATGGAATCCAGCAACCGTCTCTGACGAAAATTAAGAATAGTAAGTACCGATCCCCTATATATACATATATATCTGATGTCGAGGTTTTTGCGGAAGATGAAATAGTTTCGCTTTTCAGTCATGGCCGAGAAAACCTCTGCGTAGATCTGACTGGAAAGAAGATCACAACTGGCTCTATGGTTAAAGCGTCCTTTTTATTTTGAACCGAACAATTCTTCAGAAAATATATTTTTGTTTAATTAGTACAACATTACGGGTCATAACAGAAAAAGAAACTTGGTGAAGAGACGTAATTTTTCTAGGCAGAGCAAACAGCAAGCAGTGACGCGTATGAACTCGAAAAGTCTGATCTAATTCTGAACAGCGACATCCTCGTAGCTATGGTGTGCCAAACCGATCTACCAATATGACTTAATATGCCGCACGGTAGGAAATATTTGAAACAATTTGATTTCCGCGATAGTTAGGAAATAGGAGTCAAAAACACAGGTTTGGTTTCGTTATGCATTAATTATGTATCATTTAAAGATATATATTAACATTAAAAATAAACAATATAAAATATAAGTATTCCTTCAAAACAGTTAGATAAAAAATTTAAATTTTAATGCGAATCTTGTCTTTGTACCACTTTAATTAATGTCGCAGAAAATTTGTGACTTTCAATTTAGTACATGATTTTGAATGTTCAGTTGTTAAAGAACTTCTTTGTGGACTCAAAATATTTTTTCATTTGAGAAAAGATTCGTTCACCTGGACATGTAGAACCAAAAGCGGAAAGCAGAGCACATGCAGTTTTCATCAAACCACTAAATCTCTCCGGTAATGACATCCAGCAATTTAAAATAGCTGTCGATTTACCGTTATCGTCCAATAATTCCGTAAATTTTGCTTTCCATAATTCTGAAGGTGTTAGTTCAATAAATGGAATGGATTACAGACGTACAAGCTTCAAAGTCTTTGCATCTTTTGAAAAAATTCTCCTTAAGTGCTTCAGCGTGGGTTGGAAGTTTATCTTTGTCTATGGTCGATGTATTATTTGCAAGCGCTTTAACATTTGGGAAATAGTTGTAGGTACTAGTATAAATACAATGGGAAAATATGTTTAATTTTGCAACAAAGCTTTTCTAATATTCAAAACGTTCAATCACTGTTTGCCCTTTTCCTTGCAATCCTAAGTTTAGTTTATTGAAGTGTTTAGTTAACGTCAGTCAGAAGCATTAATTTACATAACCATTTTTATCGTTCAATTTGGGGAAATGTTGCTCCTTCTCATTAAGAAAGACTTTGTATTCCATGCATGCCCAAACTTTATTAAAGACATTACCTCGACTAAGCCAACGAACAGACGAGTATACGTGAAGAACCACATATTTACTTTCCATGTCTTCTAACAAGAAATTTAAATTGCCTGTGTACCAACGAAGACCAAGATACTAAGAAATTAAGTATTTTAAAAGCAGTTTTCATTACAGAAATTAGTGACAAAATTTTGGCAATTAAACTTTCCTAGTGTATTATATAATGGAAGTTTAATACTTTAAGTGCAATATGATTTTCAAGAAGTTTGACAAATCCCCTTTCCTTGCCAACCACTGCAGGTGGACCATCAATAGTTACACAAAATATTTTACTTATATTGATGTTTTTACTTTCAAAATAATTATAAATGTAAAAGGAATATTCTACATACTTGAACCCCATAAAAAGTTTTAATAAGAACTCATATAAAAATACAATACAGGAGTTTAAAATTTTAGTATTTAAAACTTCTATATTTATAAGAATTTGGTAGATTTTGGTTAAAACTGATAAATCAGATGTGATCCTTTATCTGAAGATCGGAATAGATTTTCTTCAAAATAAATATATTTTGACATAATCTCAATCTCCTCAACTAAACGACGATGAGGACAAGAGCGAACAGAAATTCGAAAACACGTACTTGTTTACTTCTTGCTGATCCCGGAATGCGCGATGGTCACTATTCAGCTGTCATTCCAAAAACTAATGAGCACTGCATACTGGCACCTAATATCACGGGCTATATGTACAGATCAAAATGAATTTAGATTTGTGAATACTATAGAACAGGGATTCTCGACCATTTTAGTCCCACGTACTCCTTTCACCATTGCTAGATGATCAATCCTCCCTTCTTTTCAAAACTCTAAAATGTATATATATATATATAATCATTTAAATTTAGATTATTTTTAACCTGTTTTATAACTTAAACAACAAAAAGTGCAGAAAATGTTATTAAACCAAAAAAATAGAATAAAATTTGCATTTGAAATTCATAAACTTAAAAGGTAAATAAAAGGCCGACCGCATTTTTCTTCTGAAACAATGAAATTCCTTTCCCCTCCCCGGGAGCATTCCTCCCTGGTTAAGAAACCTTGCTATAGAAATAATATAGTAGAAAATTAAATTATGCACTTCCTATTAAAAAGTATTATTTAAATATATTAATTACCTTAAATCAGAAAATATTCAAATTTATATTATTTAACTGCTTAATAGCTTCCAATTTTGAATTGAAAACAAATAAGCTTGCGAACATTTGATTAGTTGGTATAAATTTAGAGAAACCAGCTTTATCAGTTGTGCTTAATAAAATAGAAAAAAAATTGTGTTATAGACCTTTCTACTTATTGAAATAACAATTAGATTTTGTTTACAAACAATCAATAGGAAGTGATGTTAAAGCTCGTTTCTATTTAAAACACTGGATTGATAGCAGGTCATGTGGTGGTGACACCAGTTTTATTGTATTTAATCTCACAAAGAACCAACACTAAAGTATAAGTATTGTTTCATTACAGACCAAGTTCATTCTCAAAAATAAACATTCAGACTATTTGAAATGCATTTATAATTTTTAAATATACTATGTAATATCTGATAGCCTTGTCCTTAAAAAAAATAATTCAAAAATTTTTAGCCCAACAGACTAGTCACATTTCTGTGAATTCAGTAACCTTAAAGGCATTAAAGATAGATATAATCCTAGGTTTTACACTTTGGATGATCGTTAAGCATTTGTACTGCTAGAGATTTCTGTTCCTTTCATATCTTAGAAATTTCAACATCTCCATATAAATAACTGCTTAAAATTTTGTTATTCGAAGAAGCAACATGATTATGTGCATCGATAAAGCCATAAAACTATTTAAAATTCCTTTTCTATCCTGTTTTAAAATACCATGAAAATAAATCTTAGAACGAAATTCGCCTTCAACTTCTAATTGTGTTATTATATGAAATAGAAGGAATCAGTAAATTGCTTAAATTTTCAGATAAGGAAAAATGTGTATAATGCTACCCTTTCCATAAAGCAGAATGTTTGAATTAAAATTAATTGCAGATAATTTATTTCTGGTTAGAATGCGTAGTTACTTTTTGTTAATTTATTTCTAATTAATAGAGTAATGAACATATAAGTCCGAAGGGGCGGTAGTCCAGAACGGCTGTTAATCTCAAAACGGCATTTTTTGGCGTTTCACTATAATTAGCGAACTACTTTTTAAATTGTTCCTACCAAATAATATCCTCCCGTGTTGTATTTAAAGAAATTAAATAATGAGGAATCTGCTTAAATATATGTGTGTTTCTCGCATTGTGAAAAAACGACGGTACCTAGAGCCATCAAATTTTGAATAATCCTCCAGCCGAACATGGGCACCTGACAGTCCGAAATTTTGGGTTTCGAATTTGTTTTATTATCTGTTTCATATTCTGGAGACCTTTAACGAGCTTCTGATCAACAAACTCAGCGATTTCAACGCGAGCAGTGACAACACTGTACAGAAAAAAAAATAATATTTTACCTCCAGCGCGCGAGACTGTCTATCGGATATTCTAAAGATATGTTGTTTTTGAATATGTTTTCACATTAGGTTATTTCGAAGCAGGAGAAACAAAAAATGAGGCAACGCCTTCGCTGGAAATCGAACCACGGACCTCTGGAATACGCGCCCAGCGTGCAGACCGCCACACCAAGAAGACATGCTAATAACGTTGAAGAAATAACTTATATACTCCCCCCTTTTAAAGGGAGATTGGGGTTTTAGGGAACACAATCGCCAAATCCTGGGTGTGGAGAATCATCATAGGCCACTCTTTTAGTTCAGGCGCCATAAACATTAGGTTATTTCGAAGCAAGAGAGATGAAAAATGAACAATGCCTTCGCCGGGAATCGAACGACGGACCTCTGGAATATGCGCCCGGCATGCAGACCACCACACGAAGAAGGCATGCTAATAAGGCAGGAGAGCTATCTTATAACTTACATTTATTTGTTCTGTATGCATGCCACATATGTACATACAATAATAATTTGGTTTAACATAATGGTTTTAAACTATTTTCGAAATGTTAAGCTGTCACACAGATTTCATATTTTTCTATCAGATTAAAGTTTCGATTGCGGTTAATTTCAAAATTTTAATGCGAATCGCTCACATGCGGAATGCGGAAACAGTGTTAACACTTGGTTAATCACTGCTACACTGCTAGATGCTTCATCGTTACTTTTAGAATTATTTATTTACATATGACTTTATAAAACATTCACGCAAAACCATATACTGTTGCATACAATGCTACATTCAAAGAATATTCTAATCCTTTATTTCGTTACTGTTTATCCATTATAATTTATGCACATTTTGCTTGACAGCTAAGTCAAATATTCTCTCGTTTGCGTCTTTGCAATATCAGAACAAGAGTTTTCACTGCATAATACCTTAAGCGTTATAGATACAAATATCGTAATTTGCCCTTCAGGCTCTTTTTCCGTTTTGAAAATGGATTCTCATCCGTAGTTTCCACTTTCACTTAAATCTTTTCGCGCGGGCTTTTCCTACTCGCACAGCATGAACGAGCCGAGTGAGCAAATACGGACGCCACCGTGCGTGACGAAAGCGAACTAGTTTCGGAATAAAATGGCCATGCTTTCGATGAGCGTCATTCAAAATCCTTCTGACACCCAAAGCGAGACTTCGAACTTTCAAACTATTGTGCCAATGCCCGTCGCCTGGCAGGATACCTAAATTTTTTGTTGTCGTTTTTGTTGTTGTTATTTATCTGAAAGAACTGTTTATAGAAAAAAAAAAAAGATGAATCTCCGTTCTTCAAAAAAGTAAGATTTAAATATTTTTAAAATCATATTTAATTTTGTAAATTTTATATTTACGTAAAATGACTAATGCTCAATGCAGAATACTTAAGCTATTCTTTATACAAAGTGATAAAGCTCTGTTATGAACGCAAACGATTACTTCTGATTTGAGCCCAAATATTTGAAATTCAAGAATGGTATGATTTAGGAAGAAATTTTCTCAGTTCATTATTATTATGCGGAAATCTCAAGCAACAAAAATTAGAAGTTTCGTGAATACTAACTCTAAATTATTTCACGCATTTGCGTACTATTAGTGTGTAAATATTCTCAGTTAATTCTGTTCTTTACTTTAATTAAACTAATTATTTATTAAAAAATTAAGAAATAATTTCCCTCAAAACTTCATTCAGAATTTTTCCTATTGATTATATACTGTCCACTATGATAAAAATATTAGTTATTTCTTATAATTGCATGAAAGAGTACTTCACAATTTAGCTTTTAATATTTTTAAATTTGTATATTTAGTAAGAACAAAATATTTTATTAAATCTATTTAAAATAACTTTCTTAACGTTATGATATATATTTACAGGTATTAACAAATGCATCAATGATATTTACTATTCTATAAATCAATGTAAAAGTTTATTTCACTACTGAGAATTTTTCAGCCCAGCGAAAAGCTATTCTCATACATGGTATTTGTTGTAATTAATTTTAAAATATTAAAATTGGGAAAACGTACGTGCATGCGTAGGTACAGAAACAATGTCAGAAACATACATTTTATTATTATTAGTTTTAATTTTTGAAATATAAAGAATAATAGATAATTTTCTTTTGCTAGAGTGCTTTACAAGTTATGAATATGAAAAGGAAGAACATCATTATTAATACTTCTTCTATTAACCATTGCTATTTTTGATGCATACAACAAAAATGTTTATTTTACGTAATTTTTTTAATTTCAAGAAATATAATTTAGGACTGTTGAAATTATTGTGAATATCAGAGTGGTACCAGTGTCAGATGCCACCCTGTAGGGAGCATCTTTCTACACCTTTTTGAACCATAAACCGAAATAATAAGAATGTCTGACATAGCTCTTACTTCATTTATTCAATAGGAACAAACTTTCACCCTTATTTGACTATGTATAAGTTGGCATCTGTGTGTTCTTATGCTTTGTGCTTCAACATTTTCTGTAGCTTCCGGAGAAAAATTGACTTTTACTGAAAATTTATTCGAACGACTGCATTTCAAGAAAACTTTAGGCAAAGTCTATTGATGTTACAAAGGTGGCTTAAAACTTACTTATTTCTCTTGAAATCTAGCTGTTAGACTGACTTCTTTTATATCTCATAATTCTTCAAATGTATTGCAGAGTAGAATTAATTTCAAGTTAGAGGTATTTTAGCGGATAAATGATGCATAACGCCGGGTAAAATATTATACTTTCTCTCGAATGCAGAGATGCCAAAGCATTTCTCTCTTTGGATTTAATTTTCATTATAATGGTGATAATGTAAAGAATTTATAGTACATGTCATGGCCAATTTAAACATGTCTAAAAATGAAGAATGGGCTTTAATAAGAGAAGATGTGTCTTCCTTATTCCTTTTCATCTTTCTTGATTTATATTCCTTTCCATCTTGATTTATATTCCTTTCCATCTTTCTTGATTTTACTAATTCTTCTCAGGTATAAGACTTTCTTCTTTCATCTGTGACTTTCATCTGCGTCTATAATGCACTTCACGGTTTCCCTCAAAGGATGCATTTTGTTCTTAGAAGCGAAAAAAGAATTAACTGCAAACAATCAGTGGGTAACTTTGAGAAATATAAAGTTGCTAGCTTTTTTGCCGTGAGTGTAACTTGGAGCAGTAATTTTTGAGTTTTAAATATATTTAATTAAGTGAAGCTCTCGATTTCTTTTAAAATAGTAAGATTGAAACTTGCGAAGGGATGTCTAAACCGTTGAAGAAATCTTTAGCGGAATATTTCATTGCATGAATGTAGTAACAACAAAATTAAGAAATGGTGAAATAATAAACAGTAAATCTATGAATGACAGTAATGATGAAGAGATAATAGTGTAGATTTTACAAACGCTATCTGTAACTCCTCGAAAACTGTAATCAGTTACGAGGTTTTTCGTAACCATGGTTGAAAATACTGATGGCTTTAACGTCTCGTTTCCTATTTTCAATGAGCGTGAACATCCTGTTTTCAGCAAAAGACGAAAACAGAATAATATTCCTCTTTACTAAAACTTATTCCTATAGATATGACAAATAGCTTAAATTTTGAAAGTTATTAATCAATTGTATTGTTTGAGGATCTGAATGTTAAATCTCACATAATGAATGCAATAATTGGTATTATGTGTGCTTTCCTTGTAATTCTCAAAATAACTACTAATTATTTTCATTCATATCAGGCAGCTTATATATTTTTCCACTAAGCATTCTTTCTGTTCAGTCTGTTGTACGGACGAAAATGTTTTTGATCATCTGAATTATTTCAGGATCTGAATGTTATATCTTACGTTAATGAATCCAATAATTGGTATATTGTGTGCTTTCTCTGTAATTCTCAAATAACTACTAATTTCAGACTTGTTTTCGCTCATATCAGACACCTTTTCTTTTATATCTTTTTTTCCTATTACACAATTTTTCTGCTCAGTTTGTTGTATTGATGAAAAAGTGGGCAGTAAAAAATAGGTTCTTCGAAAACGAAATGATGTAAAAGAGCGATTAATACATACAAAATCAATGTGTTTGTTAAAGTATGGTTTATATAGCTGGAAAGAACAAATCAAAACAATCGCTCGGAAGATTTTCGGAGCATGGACTGAACAACTTTAGATTTCTTTCTGAGCATTTTCAACTTTAGAATTCTATGAATTTTATTTCTTTGACGTTCCCCAGACATAATCTTTTAAGATATCATCTTGTGTAAGTTTGGGAGGAAATAGTTTTTCGAACCCCTGCTGTCGATGCTGCAGATGTATGCCCAAATTACGGTGGCAGTAGATAGGAATGATAGGACTACTCACACCATATATACTTTCGGATATGTGGAATCAGATAAACTATCGCCTACACAGAGCCCAAGCTGCAATTGGCGTTTATATTAAAGTGTACTAAAATTTTCTGAGTAATTAATTCTTTCCAGCTATGTAAATCACAATCCAATAAACACATTGATTTTGGATATATGTGCTTTTCTTTCTCACTTTTTCTTTCCCGGACACCGTGTATAACAGCATATTGAGCTATATTTTATCGAAACGTAAATCTCAAGCTAATACACCAAAGCATAGGCTGATAAAAAACTAAAATAATTGTACGTAATATACGTTACGTAGTTAGGAAACTAAATAGAAAAAATATATGAATTTTTAGTAAAGATTCTCAGATACTTCCATATTTCATTTCGATGTGCATCACGGTAATATGCAATTACCAGTGTAGTTAAAGTGAAGCTTTTGATGAATATAAAATGCTACAGCAGGGGAAAAAACTTGATTTTTGTTTTGCAAATAGAAACCTTTTTCTCGTTTGAAATGAACTTTCCTAAGGGTTGTGAATTATAACTTCATCTAAATGCTCCATCTCCTTTAGGAAGATAGTTGGTTGCAATATGTTAAAACAGTAACTGCCAAAAGGAAAACTAATTTGAAAATGCATTAATCTATTTAAAATACTTAACGCAGGAAATTGCTGACAAAACTCCCTAAATTACCTTCAACTACTTTCATAACAAAGCAAAAAAATGTTTTAGAATGTTAATTAATCCATAATTTGCTCTAGATTCATAATAAACGTAATTCTTTCATGTGTCTGTCAGAAGTTAATGTAGATCCCCAAAGGCATTTACTTTGACAAACGAAGACAAATTAAAACTCTTTGAACTAGACATATCTCACAGTTTCCTCTTATCTTTTTCTTCCTTTAATTAGTCACGAGCTGACATCGTCGACACGCGCTTGAGTTGTTCAGTAATGACATTCGGTTCCGAGCATTAACCAGCGTTTCACAGAATCTGCTTCTTCATGTCAAATAGATTTCCAACAGAATATTGAAATATATTTGTCAGTTTCTGGATGTATTGATTTACATATGAAATCTTTTGTATTAGCTTTTTTAATTTACTTTATATCAGTAAATAATGTACTACCCATACATTAAGAGAAGTAAAACAAGGAACACTTTTATTAATATTTTTTATAACTTTCTGGAGATTGATTTTTGGGCAGCAATTCGATAAGAATTTATATTTTAAGTTAAGTTGTCTATTCAGTTAAAATACATCAAAGCCAAAGTTAATACACAAAAAATGTCGAAAATTGAGCAGAAATTTTCTAAGCTTTGGGAAATTATTTTTCGTGTTAAGGCTACTAATCCATTAGCATGTTATATGATTAATCTGCTAATGGAATTTTAGTAATAAAACTTAAAAGACTGAGTCAATTTTAACTAAGTGTAACATATGTCTGTCAACCCTCAAATTTTAGCGTTCTGGTGCATTTAATTTGTTGTAAATTACAATAAAGTATGCCAAAAAACTTTGCTTAAAAGCAATTTATGTCTCACCTTCTTCGGGAAAAAAGAGCTCTATAGAAATGTGTAGAAACTTTTATCAGAATACTTTTGTTTCGGAAGAAAAGAATCCTGCGTGGCTGTTTGCTCTATATTGCATCTTTTGATAAAAGTTGATGCCAAACAAAAAATTGAATTTTGTTACAGTTCATTCAATGGCAAACTTTCGTCAAAAATGCAATGCTAAATTCTCTGCAGCACTTTCGGTGAAGTTATAGAAGAACAATTTTCAATACAGATTCAAAATCTCATATTATCCTTTTCTTTACTTTAGGGGAAACTTTGATATTCCTAAAATCGAAATAATCGAATTCATATGTATCTGTTTATAATTAACTAATAAAAATCTTTAAAAAGTACATGCAAAAGTTTTCTAAAAGAATTTACTTGAGTGCATCGCAATTTAACT